ATACTTAGTTTTTATATTTGCGTTCTTACTATGAATATATATATTATTTGAAATATTTTGAGTGTCTCCCAACGATAATTTAAAGTAACACATTCATACTCGTTAGCAGCGACATTTAATTAATAATTAACAACTATGGGTTTTCAGCCCCTACTCGTTATCGAATCCAAACCCCGTAATAGCATTGTTTCGAACAACATTCGCGGAACAGCATTTACAATACGTTAACGAATTTCGATTCGGTTTTCTGAATCAAAATGCAGTTTTTTTAAACCAAAATATATAGAAACAGTATTTTCTTGGCAAGTTCAGTATTTTTTTTCTCAAAAGAGAAACATTAATATCTATATTAATTATTCCGTATATTATTTTTTATTCTCTCAATAGTTTTGGAGGTCTAAAGTGCTAGTAAACACGAAATGGCGGGTAGTTTTTAGATATGCACGTTCATATTGCCTCGACAAGAGTACTTAAATACCTTGCTTCAGTAATTGATGAGTGAACGCAGCGCGCATGGGTCGCGAAGCAACCCGAAAGGAACTACAATATAACTGCAAATTTGAATTTTCAGGTAGTAGCCAGAGGCCGGTAGATTTTAAGAACTTAGTAGCCACTTTTTCCTCAAACTTAACGAATCTTTGACCGATATCAATAGCATACCTGCCAACTTTTAATCCTTTCCATTATAATTTTTCCCAGTGGTATTAAAATGGAATTGAAACTTCCATTTTAAGCAAACAAATACATTATATTTGAGAAAACTTAAGTTGACAACTATGATAGTAACGCATATTAACATATGTGCTTAATTTTTGTAAGAATAGTGGAGATCAAAATCATATAAAAATTAAATTTGTAAAAGAAAAAATAGTATATATTTACTACCACTTTAAATATGAAAATAAAATCTTCCGCAAAATCCGGAAGAGTTGGCAGGTATGCAATTGATCCAGGTCCTTTTTATTTAATAGCCACTTTTTGTAAGCTTTTTTTTTGTTCATTAAATTAGATATTTTCGAAAAAAAATTCTTATTATAAATAACCTGTAATTACAGAAAGCTTATTCCAAAATTAAAATAATATAAATTTGCGATAAAATTTAGTTAAACATACTGATTTTAAAGAACCTTATATAAAAATGTTTGGGTTGGCAAATTACATTTTATGTATACATTACAACTTTGAAATATGTGAAGTGTTAAAGAATTATTCTTCCACATAAATGTCTCCACTCCAAATTGATGATTACTGATAGATATTTTAATGAAAATTTCTATTTCTAGTCTTTTTCTTCGTTGAACTATTTTTATCATAGAGCGATTTTAAATAAAAGTAACCGGTTGTTTATTTAATTTAAATCTCCACTTATTTTTGTTGACCCGCCACTTGTCGAGTGGTTGCTTTTAGAGAAACTACGAAATTTGTCAGGAAGTTGGTGAGCAGTAGCTGGCAGGGGTCGGTGGTTTTCCGTGATTTGCAGTTAGAATTTTTTTTTTAATGTATCAGTGGATCTTTCGATGGTGTGTTTTAGATGGGAATGATTTAGATTATTTAACGTACACCGTAGAACAAAATTTTAATTAATCGATGATCATTAATCTGAGTCCTTTCCAAGTCGTAAACTTTCAGAAATTTTTCAATGCAAAAAACTTAAAAATAATACAAAATGGATTACCTTTTATACATCTGCTAATGCTGTGAGAAGCGTTGCCATTGTAACAAAACCAGAACAGTCCTGCTTCTGAATCATTAGTTACTTCATCGATTTGATACACATACATATTTCTGCTCTTAAACCTGAAATTTAAAAGAGAAAAATATAAATTGACTGAAAAATATGTTCTTCTTTCAGGTCATATCTCTGTTGTCAGGCAATACTCAAATTTAAGAAAATTTCCCTTTTTTCTGTTATTTAATGGAGAGAGAGAGAGAAAGAGAGAGAGATTAACAAAAAATAAGTTCTCATACAGATATATCTTTTTTTTGTAAAATAGTGTATAGTGGTATAGTTAAAATAGCAAATATATATAAGTGGTATAACAAATAGCGTATAACAAATATATAGAGGTATAACAAATAGCGTAGCTTATAGTGGTATATTTAAAATAACAAGAATTTATTTTTTTGGCTGTTGATTTAATATAATTAGATTCATATTGCTGCCGACCAAATGTGCAGTTGTCAGGGAGCTGACCTCACTTCAGCAAGGTACTGGGTTCAAACCCCGGACAAGGCATAGCTGTTTTGACTGTGAGAGCCTAATATGATGCTGCTAAATGAGTGGCCATTAATCTGCCCTAAAGATACCTGGCTGATGATTATCAATCGGATGCTCATTGAATAATTAAAAGGTTACTCAGGTAGTTTATAACTAGTATTTGTGATATTATCAATTTTACCCTTAAAGTACGAGATATTATAAAATTAATATTAGTCGTCATTTTTTAAAACATAAAGAAGTGGTAAATAAGCTTTGAAATTTTTCGTCGCATTTTAACCCATTATTAATGTCTAGTAACAAAAAGCGGTTTTTATATGAAAGCCACTTACATAGAAAATATGGTAGCAATTGTTTTGTTCTTAAAATTTCTTTCAATTTTGCTAAATATATCTTAGACCAGTAAGACCACTGCTTGTAAAAGATTTATTTGAAACTTATTGAACCTTCTCATTGTCCTTGAAAACAAAAGGCCACGATTTTTTGGAAACTTTTTTTCATGAGCACGCATTAAGCAACAAATCGCTCATGAGTTACAATCTACTAAAAAAAACACGCTTTTAGAACTAAGAACAGGTGTAAATAGAAAAATACACATTGTTTTAGCAGCAATACTTGCACAACTCATAATTCTACTTGAAGGTAATCATCGTTTAAGCAAACGAAAGCATTTCTTATGCATTTTGCTTAGCAATGAAAACTTTAAACCCTCTTTACGCAAAAATTGAGTTTTTGATTTATGCCACTATCATCTTTTCGCCCATCAGCGAAATGATTGGAATTTTTTGTACATAAGATGTAGCAGCTCTCTTATCTTTTCCTGCCTGCTACGCGTGCTGTACTAGTAATAACCATAAGAAATGTTCTGAAAACATTTGTCTTACGTGAATTTGTAGTCCTTAGATGCTGCCAGCTCCATTACATTATAGGCTGTGCAGTTTACGGGCGCCAGTAATGAGATGGTATGAATCACATCTTTCTTGTCCCCCATGTAAAGAGAATATTGAATGCGCATCGTCTGACCTTCATAGTAGCTCATTTCGGAGGTAAAACTATCTAGATTAATCATTTAAAACATGAGAAAACCATAAATAATCAAAAATATACATACAATGTACTGCGACCATGGAGCAAACTTGGAGAGGTGGTTGAGCGTACTGAAATATGTATTTTAGTATAAAAATAGAAGGTCTAAAGTGACCTGTTAAGGTATGCACACAAAACGTAACAGTGGAGGAAAATTTTGTTTGTTTACAAAATTAACGCTAAGTGCTTATTTGCAGGGATACAGTATTCGCAATGAATGTTCAAAATGATGACTATCAACCAATCTGGGAGCGTTGTAGAAGGGATGGGTAGGAATCGTTAATACATCAGAACTCTGTTCGCTTCTGCCTACTGCATAACCAGGTAATCACATCTGTAGTTCGTATTACTGTCAGTTGTCGCAATTTTGAATTGAGATAGAAATTTAGAATACTGTATTGCTGCAAAGAAGCACTTTGCTGATATTGTAAATCAATGCATTTTCCCTTCCGTTGTCAATTTTGTGTTCATGCTTAACGCTTCACTTTAGCCTCTATATTCCTAAACAAAAATGCAGGTTTTAAAACTCTCCTCCACTCCGCCAAGTTGGCTCCATAATTGTAGAATCAAGCGGCATAAATAACGTCTGATTTTCAAATTCTCCCTATATCACAAAACTGTCGCTGCAGCAGCTGTTTTGGGTGTTCAATTTTTTTAAAAAAAATTTTGCTTTGTTGCGCAAAAACTTCTGGACTAAGAAATTTAAAATTATTAAGTTCAAAACTTAACAAATACCGGTTTCGAAATGTGCTTCTCTCCAACCTGAGCTTGTTACGTTGTCTTTACTGCCTATAAATAACAAGATCTAGGCAAATATTTATTTAAAAAAAAAGTTAATATGCTCCTTCAATCATCTTAAAAAAAAAGATTATTTTTCTGAATCAGACTTTAACTATAATCACACAATATATAAAATATTTTATGTACGGTAAACGTGACTAGTTATATTAAATCATATATTTTTTGTGACGCGCCCTTCATTAAGCCTAGAATCTAAAAAAATTTAAATAATTATAGGCAATAATTACAATTTCCATTTTTCATTCTATATTCTACAATACGTAACTTAATCAGAAAAAGCAATTGAATATTGAAAAACACAAACTTAATTTTTTTCTGAAATTTTGATGAATCTATGAAATTTTTAAATTGCTATATATGGTAAGTATTTTTAGAACATAAAAGAATAATAGAAATAATTTAAAATCTAGTAGCAAAATTATAAGAGATTTAAAGTTATTACGTAATGTAGGACAAAAACACTCATTAGATTACCGTATCCTTTCCTTTTTGGATTTAAAGAGCAATTAATTTTGGAAATATCCGAGAGGCTTTTAGCATTTAGAACGGGCAGGACTAAATAACTTGCGAGAAGGTCATGTGGCATTTTAAGTTGCTGCATTAGGTACTGGATAGTTGCATTGGTATTCCAGTCTGTTGCATTTTCTTGGCCACTTGAAATAAGAGCCTGAAACATGAAATTAATACATTATGTATGAAGTGAAAATTAATAAATTTTAATGACGAACTGTTTCTTTTAGATCTAAATAACTGCAAATAAGCGCAAACTACTTTTAACGCAGGTTGGAAGTTATGCCGCGATTGAAAGACTTTACCTTTAACACAGAAAAAGACACCAGTGTTCAATGCTGTATTTTTTATTATTTTTTTATTTCTTGTCAAATTACATTAAACCTTTTAACCATCAAGATAAACTTTTAACAATGTTCTAAAATTATTTTGCCCCTTCCTTTGAAATTCTTAGTAACACGTTTCTTGATTTCAAGTTTTTATTCCTAAGTACATGAAGCATGTCATTTGCTTACTTTTTCAACTTTAAATTTACCAACCTTACTTTATTGTTATTTCATTAGTTCTGATCGATATAATTTTTATTTATATATTTAATTGTTTACATAATAAAATACATATATCTACTGTCATAACTTAAATAAATATCTTCTAACCTGAGTTATTAAAGATGTTGTATGAAAATTCCCGAAACTGCCATCTGCAAGCTGCATTTTCTTGAAACGTTGTAGTGTATTTTCATACTTAGTTTTTATATTTGCGTTCTTACTATGACTGAAAAACATTGTTTGAATTTCATAGCAAGACAAAGCCATCACAGCAATCGCTTGATAATCTGAAAAATATCATTGATTATTTTTAAGACATCAATATGTTGTATTTTAAAGCATGGTCGGAAAATGTAAACGAATAAGTTAAAAACAAAGATCTAATTAGGCTTTGTAATACTAATATTTATTAAGCGGAAATTCCAGATTAATACAAATCTATGCCAATCAGTAAAAAAATGAATATTTCTCGCATTCTAATGATTCCTAGAAGGAATTAATTTATTTTATACTATAGAGGCAGTGTAACGAATAATTTCAGGTTATGTGCTTTAAATTTTTACTCATCATTTTGTCTTAGACGCTTTTTTGGAAAACGGACGAAGTCACAATATAGAAAAATGGCACTGTTGATCAAGTTAAAATTCAATTCCTTAAGTACTGTACCATTGAAAAATCAACGTAAGCGACTAAGTCAAAAATGTGATTTTTACACATTTGACCTTTTTTGATGATAAATAACGCATCTCAAAAAATTCTTCTTTCCCAAATCAATTCTTATTAACTTTCTTAAATTCTTCTTTAACGTTGGTAGTATTTGAAAGGGAAAGAAAAAAAAGTTGTTAAGACTCTTTTTTCAAAATATACCTTAAACACCTAATTTCAAAAAATATAGAAAAAAATTAGCCATCTAAATGTTAACACTTTTAGATGTGGCGGAGCATGATGCAAAGGCACAAGCAGCGCTGTCTGTATAGATAGAAAATATTAAGCTATTCTATTGAGCAATAATGACACTAACTAAACTAAAGAAGTTATTATTCAATAGAAACTGAGGAATAAAGTTACCCCCCTTTACAAACCACCCAGAAATGCTCTTAAAAAAGTACAGCTTACGACTGTCAGAAATAATAACGCAAAAAATATTGAGACTTAAACGCAAAACTTAACTTTACTTAACTCAAAAAATACAAATGTAGCATGAGATGCTTGAGTGGATCTAAGATATTTAAGCTTTGCTAGTTCCAAGTCTGCAATCGGTTTCTTTCTACAAGCTACAATTTTTATGTAATATAATATTACATATTGACTCCACTTCTCTGGTACGTAAGGAGCGGTAGAAAAAATCGATAGTGCCTTTCAGTTTATGATGCGTTACGTTAAAGTTTTTTGACGGCGAAAACGACTGTTGTAAATTGCCTTAAGGCATTAAATACATAATTGAGGCGGAAATTCGAAAAAGCCACCAATACAAAAGAACACATGATCTAAACATCAATAAGTGCAAAATATTTAAATAAAAAAAATCAATGCAATATTCTAAAACATAAGCAGGAGATAATAGTTATATCCCTAACATCCTAAACAACATGGCTTAAAATTATTTATTTCCTGTCACTTAATGTCAGTATCAATGAAGTTTATGATGATCATTAAAAAATTGAAGTGTCTACTGACGCAATTAAAAGACAATCCATATTTGATGAACAACCTATGTATTGAGGCTCCAAAAAATGCATTCAGAATAAATGCAACGAAATCAAAAAAAAAAAACAAAAAAAAATTAAATCAACTTAACACTATCATAGTAATTACTGTAACGAATCAAGCTATAATTAGAAACAGTTCCCTTATTATAAAAAAAAACACATTTATTCCACATCAACGCATAAAGTAACAAAATGAAAGTAGCCGTAAACAGGTGAGTAATAGCCTTACAAACAAATATCGAAAAACCCGTAACGGATTAGTATAAACCTCAAATTCGAAAAACAAAAACTATCTCCTCAAAAATCAACAATTCTCTGATGTTCCATCAAAATCTCGTGCCTTTTTTTTTAAATTTATCTTTTTATATGTTTTTTCTTCTTTTATTCATGCTTTTGTTAGTCAGATATTTTTAATATGTTTAGACTATTTTTTTAATATTTTCAGACTTTATACTACCTTTTAAAAAAAGGAAAGCTCTTGTACATCGTAGAATTAACAATATGTTGTTTAAAAATCTCCCTTACAGAGAGATCAATCAGATCATCAACATAATGAATGTCTGCTTTTGATTAAATTACTTTCCAAGGAAATAGAAAGATGTCATTTTTATAATGTTACCCAAGCAAGGGAAAGGAGATCGAAACCCAAAGAACTAGAGACCAATTAGTCTCTTTACTGCACTCTAAAAAATTCTTGAAAAATTAATCCTAACTACACACTAACCCTACTTAAACAACTTGCCAAACATACAGAATGGATTTGTGAAAACCTTTCGACTTTAAAATAGCTATACGGAATAATTAATTGAATAGAAGTTTCGAGTGAATTGAATAGTGTCAACAATTATTTTTATAGAAATAGCTGTTAATCAGCATGAATTTTTAGCTCAAATAGCCTTTCATCCCTTCAGTGGGTCGATAAATGAGTACCAAGCATGCTTGGGAACTAAACACTGGGGGTTCCGCGTTCGGCTGACCACCTGACCGGAACATCTGCTCCTGCACCCCAGAGCCCAAGGTCAAGAAAACTGAGATGGGCACAGTAGGAATTGGCCCTCTAGGGCTGTCGCGCCGCTGAGTTTAGTTTAGTTTTATTTTTTAATTAGTTCGAATTCAGCAGGTAAGTTTAATCTGTCAAATCAACAATGTTGACAGCAAATTAAAAGAGCTCTCTGTCCTCTAAACCCTCTCATGCGTTAGGTCGATTCTTACTTATTATGTTTTACCTGTTCTCCGTAATCTCAGATAAATTACAAAAAAATAGAGTCTTTCCAGAACAAAGCTCCTTGAAAATAATCTTATCCTTTATATTCTAATACTTATACATATACATAATCAATCACTCAGTATATTCATATGAAACACCTAACGGAGGAGAGATCTCAATGCTCCTACCATTAACGAAAATAATGGCTAAATTTGTCAGTGAATGCATTAGAAGCTAACCACTAAGGCATTTTTAACACTAGATTGCCTAAGGAAGTCATTTTGATTGCTTTTAATTTCAATTAGAAAAACAATGATTTATATAATAGCACAATTTCTTAGAATTTTATACAACATATAATTTTTTTATTGTTAATATTTACTAATAACTTCTTATATAACTGTAAATAATATAAAAAAATATTAAATTAATTTTAAACAAATTTCTTTACACATTATTTATTATTTTAGAATCCAGTCATTTTGACTGCTTTTGGGCAATATAGATATATACTAAGTTTCAGTCTGTCTAGTGTTAATATCGAGATTATCAAAGAATAANTCGAAGACAGAAAAAAGTTCATTATATCCAACTTCCTCACTTTTTTGGTTCACTATATCCACTAAAAATAGCATTATACGTGTATAGCAGGGCACGTGACTGATCATTTCGTTCACTATATCCGGGAGTTCACTATAAGCCGTGTTCACTATAGCGGGGTTCGACTCTAGTTATTTTGTTAGTTCTGATCGATATAATTTTATTAATATATTTAATTGTATCTACTCTCATAACTTAAATAAATATCTTCTAACCTGAGTTATTAAAGATGTTGTATGAAAATTCCCGAAACTGCCATCTGCAAGCTGCATTTTCTTGAAACGTTGTAATGTATTTTTATACTTAGTTTTTATATTTGCGTTCTTACTATGACTGAAAAACATTCTTTGACTTTCATAGCAAGACAAAGCCATCACAGCAATTGCTTGATAATCTGAAAAATATAATTGATTATTTTTAAGACATCAATATGTTATATTTTAAAACATGGTCGGAAAATATAAACGAATAAGTTAAAAAAAAAGATCTAATAAGCTTTGTAATACTAATATTTATTAAGTGGAAATTCCAGATTAATACAAATCTATGCTGACGAGTAAAAAAAATAAATATTTTATGCATTCTAATGATTCCTAAGAGGAATTAATTTAATTTATACTATAGAGGTAGTGTAACGAATTATTTCAGGTTATGTGCTTTAACTTTTTAGTTTTTACACATCATTTTGTCTTAGACGTTTTTTTGGAAAACGGACAAAGTCAGAATATAGAAAAATGGCACTGTTGATCAAGTTAAAATTCAATTCCTTAACTACTGTACCATTGAAAAATCAACGTAAACGACTAAGTCAAAAATGTGATTTTTACACATTTGGCCTTTTTCGATGATAAATAACGCATCTCAAAAAATTATTCTTTCCAAAATTAATTTTTATTAGCTTTCTTAAATTCTTCTTTAATGTCGGTAGTATTTGAGAGGGAAAGAAGAAAAAAATTTCAAGCCTCTTTTCTCAAAATATACCTTAAACACTTAATTTTAAAAAATATGGATAAGCAATTAGCCATCTAAATGTTAACACATTTAAACGTGACAGAACATGTTGCAGAGGCGGAATCAGCGCTGTCTGTGTAAATAGAAAATAAGCTATTCTATAGTGCAATGATGACACAGACGAATTTTTTTTTAATGGCGAGCACTTGGGATGTATTGCTCCATTGGCCTCTAATGCCAGAACTGCTACTCTCTTCCCAGTGGGCACCCAGTTACCCAGTGGGCACCTGTGGCGAAGCCACGGTGTTGTAGCAGCGTCGCACAACCACAAATCCGTTTATAGGGCGGGTCACATTCACACACAAAGGAGAAAGGACATAGAACACAGAGGGAGAGAGAGAGAAAGAAACATCCATGCCCTGAGCAGGATTCGAACCCGCAACCATCGGCTCCGCAGTCAGGCACGCTAACCACTCGGCCGTCTGGTCGGCACACTGACGAAACCAAAGAAATTAATACTCAATTGTAATAGAAGAATAAAGCTAACCAGCCTTTACAAACCACCCAGAAATGTTTTTACAGAACTACAACTTTAAGACAGTTTAGAAACTATTGTTGTCAGAAATAATAACGAAAACATATTGAGACTTAACGCAAAAAATACTTATGTTGCTTACGCAAAACTACTACTAACGCAAAAAATGTTATGTTACGTTGACGTTTGAGCGGATCTTAGATATTTACGCTTTGCTAGTTTCAAATCTGTAATCGACTTCTTTCTACAAGCTACAGTTTCTTCGTAATATAATATTATATATTGACCCCACTTCTCTGGTACGTAAGGAGTTATAGGAAAAATTGATAGGGGATTCCGTTTCATGATGAGTTACATTGTCAAAGTCATGTGTTTTTGACTGCAAAAAACGTCTGTTGAAAATTGCCCTAGCCTATTAAAGACATAATTAAGGCGAAAATTCGAAAAAGCCACCAACATAAAAGAACACATGACCCAAACATCAAAATTGTGCAAAATATTCAAATTAAGAAAAATAATAATAAACAGGAGGAAATAGCTATATCCGTAACATCCTAAACAACATGGCTTAAAATTATAAATTCCCTGTCACTTAATGTCAGTATCAGTAAAGTTTATGAAGATCATTAAAAAATTGAAGTGTCTACTGACGCAATGAAAAGACAATCCGTATTTGATGAACAACCTATTGAGACTCCAAAAAATGCATTCAGAATAAATACAACGAAATCAAAGAAAATTGAAACCCACTTAACATTATGAAAGTAAGCACCTCTCAAAAAGGGAAAGCTCTTGCACATCATAAAATTAACAATATGCCTGCTTTTGATTCAATTACTTTCCAAAGAAATGGAAACACGTAATTTCATTTTTATATTATAACCCAAGCAAGGGAAAAAAGATCAAAATCCAAAGAACTAGAGACCAATCAGTCTCTTTACTGCACTCTCAAAAATTCTTGAAAAAAATAATCCTAACTGTACGCTTACAGAATGGATTTCCAAAATCATTTCGACTGTAAAATAACTGTTCAGAATATTTTTTTTGAAGTAACTCGTAATTAGAGTTAATTTTTAGCTCAAATATATTTTAATGACATTCCAATTCAGCAGTTAGGTTTAATCTGTCAAATCAACAGTGTTGTCAACAGATTAAAAGAGCTCTCTGTCCCCTTAACCCTCTCATTTGTAAGGCCGATTCTTACTTATTATGTTTTCCCTGTTCTCCATAATCTCAGATAAATGAAAAAAGTAGAATCTTTCCAGAGCAAAGCTCCCAGAAATAAATCTTATCCTTTACATTCTGATATTCATACAAATACATAATCACTCAGTATATTCGTATGAAACACTTAACAGAGGAGAGATCTCAATGCTCCTACCATTAACAAAAATAAATGCAACATTTTTCAGTGAATGCATTAGAAACTAACCATTTAGGCATTTTTAACATCGAGATTATCAAAGAATAATGTTAAGGGATGGGGTTCTAGCTTTTCTACATCGTTCAATATNAAATGTACAAACACAGTATCTAATAGAGTTTTATTTTAATTAACAGAAAATTACTTTTATGGGGGTCGATGGAGATTTCGAAAAATTATGTAGGGGTCGACGATCAAAAAAGTTTGGCAACCCCTGCCTTAAACACTTGCTTTTAAAAAATATGGAGAAAAATTAGCCATCTAAATGTTAACACTTTTAGATGTGACGGAGCATGATGCAGAGGCGCAAGCAGCGCTGTCAGTATAAATAGAAAATATTAAGCTATTCTATAGAGCAATTATGACACTAACGAAACTAAAGAGGTTAATACTCAATAGTAATACACTCCTCAAAAGTGAAATTGCAACACCAAGAAATAATGCACGTAGCGACGCGCTACGTGCATTATTTCTTGGTGTTGCAATTTCACTTTTGAGGAGTGTAGAAGAATAAAGCTAACCAGCTTTTACAAACTACCCAGAAATGTTCTTACAGAACTACAGCTTTAAGACAGTTTAGAAACTATTGTTGTCAGAAATAATAACGCAAACATATTTAGACTTAACGCAAAAAATACAGTTTAGCTTTTAGACTTCTACAGATATTAGTTAGATAACTTAGATAAATGAGTCAATGTCCTATATAAACAGAATGCTTAGTAAAAGAAAATTTGCAGGTGTGTAAATAAAAATAACTCTCAATAAAATCACCGATTCGACTTTCGAAAGAAAAGGATTAAGATTGTTTGTAAATTACCTTTAAAGAACTCGTAGAAAGTATTATTGATGCTCAGAATTTTATCCAGGTCTTGTTCAGCATCAAGTGGCCAGGTCTGATTTGCATTGCAATGGCTTAAATAAGTTATGGGGTGCGTAAAGTTGTTTGACGATTCGATTTCTTCCTTGAGGAGTTCTATCAAATTTTGTCCAAAAAAATGACGAGGATTGTGACAAGTTATCAATAAACCATTAATAAGCATACTTAGAAACTCGCTTGACAAGGAATTTCTGTAAAACAATTTTACAATGGAAATAATAAAAAATATAATAAAAATAAGAAATATATTACTATATAAAATATACATAAAATATAGATACATTTATAAAAATAAATTTTGATAATTGGTATGGTAAAAAATTAAAATTGCTATTAAATACAAATCTTTCTACCTTGCTTTTGTATACAGTACGAGTTAATGATTTTACAGACTAGAGTAAACTTAATAGTTAACGTTTTTTTATGATGAGTTTTATAAGACATAAAACAAAAGTAAAAAGCATGAGACTGCAAGCTTATTAAAAAAATATACTACTAAGGGACTCACTCACATACATAGATTCTAGCCTAGATAAAAACCATATGTTCTTAAAAAAATATTTAATCTATAATTTCTTTTATTTAAAATAAAAGTAGAAAACTTCTAATAAGCTATTGAGTTTACATTTATACAAATTATAATATATGAAGAGAAAGTGACACAATTGTAATGAAACTCCATAAACAAAAAAAAAAAGAAAAACGAAAGGTTTTTATGACGAAAGGTCCTATGAGACATAAAACAAAAAATAGCATGTGATTGCAAGCTTACTAAAAAAAATTACTACTAAGAGATTCGCAATCCATACATAGATTCTAGTCTAGATGAAAACTTCTAATAAGCTATTGAGTTTACATTTATACAAATTATAATATATGAAAAGAAAGTGACGCAATCGTAATAAAACTCCATAAACCAAAAAGAAACATATTTTACATTTTATTAAGAAAAAGAAGTACAATAATTATTAATATTTTCAAAATTTTTATTATAGTTCAAGCTCGTTTTCTCTTATTAATATTTGGAAACATGACTGAGTTTATTAAATATACTTTAACTTCTATTTTAAAATATCACAGAAAATCTGAAGAAAATACTTAGACTTCACAAAAATATCTGAATTTCGATTATTTTGATTCTAAATACTGCAAAATCAAATTTTTTTGAAATTCTTATAATTTTTTACAGAAAAGAACTATTGTTTTAAGACCCAACGTGAGAAACGGTGAGTGAATATATGGTCAATAGATGAATCTTTGGGGAGTTTTTAACTTGACTTCAGGTAACCTAAGATTTGAAAAATTCGATTGTAAAATTTCTTTTTAACGATACCTTGCATATTCTCGATGTTTCACACTCGAAGATTATTTATTACGAAAGAAATTTTACTTAATTAGACAATTCAGTGCTTGCTCTGTAGCCTGAAGCATCTTAAACGATACACATAGAGACGCTCTATAAATTGAATCCTTATTTAATATGCAGTTCTTATTCATATTTACAAAAAAATCTTGCCGTAACACATTCTGGAAAAAAAAACTTTTATTTCTACTAGATGACTAAAACTAATGAAGAGTAGATATTATGTTCTCAACAAGAACTTTGAATATTTATAAAAGTACAATTAGCAACTAGAATCAGATAAAATGAATTGATACTTCGATACGGCAACAGATGCTAAGAGCTTTGCTTGTTTTGCCATTAGTTCTTCTTCTAGGTGTGTACCATCAAATCTGCCATATCCTGCTAGGTATAACGCAGAGATCATTCTGGGTGTACTCTCTCGCCATCCCCATGAAGAAGAGCGTTTACTTTTTATCCATGTTACCTCCTTATCAAGTGCATCTGCAACACCTTGTACGGTACGTATGCGTGTTTTCAAATTAAATAAAAGCAAATATTAAACGAAAATGCTAATTATAAATACCATGACTGCATATTCTACGCTTCTGAGAACTTTCCGTGATAGTGATAAAATGTTTTTTAAAAAATGATAAATATTTTCCCCCGGTACTCAGTTAAGCTAGGAAACTTTCGGAAAATGAATCAGCTAAACATTCGCAGAGGATTAAAAAAAAAAAAAAAAAAAAAAAAAAAAAAAAAAAAAAAAAAAAAAAAAAAAANATATCCCACCGTACAACAAACGACATAAATTTGAGTTTACGACTAACGTTCAACTCCGTAGCCTTGTTATTTTGAGTCCGAAAACAAAGAAAGTCCTTTTATTTTTGAATTTGGCTTCGTGGACGAGTTTTTATAGAACAAACCAGCATTTGCGTAACATGGAGAGGAAAACCTCCTACGGCAAAGGGTCTTGAACCCATGAATCGTCTACCAATGGGGATATTTTACGTCAGCACTGTGGTTAGCTTGAGGCTGGTGTGGAATTAACATCGACCAATCATCGTTGGGATTCAAACCCAGTTTATTTCATTGGTAGACGAACGATCTATCCCTTGAGCCACCACGGTTCAGAAAACAATATTATTATATTACAATCGTAGTGGAACAGCCGACCCAAATTTTTGGGTTTACAACTACTAGTGTTCAACTCCGTAGCCTTGTAATTTTGAACCCAATCCAGAAGGCAATGGAAGTTCAAGTATTGGGAGAAACTTCCGTTTGTGGAGCACTTTTTGATGGAAACCAGCATCTGAGTTGCATGGAGAGGAAAACCTCCCGCAGTTAGTCTGACGGGAAGAGCAGTCTAACCCATAATCCGTCACCCAATGAGGATATTTTAAGTCAGCACTGTGGTCGGTGCAAGCCGGATGCGGAATTCGTATAGATCAGCCGATGCTGGGATTTGAATCCGGTTTACCTCATTAGAAGGCCATCACTGTTCTCTGAGAACAATAAAAGAGTTTCCACTCCAATGCGAAAGCATGCGAAAAAAAAGGACTCACTATTTTTCTCAAAGCGAGGAAAAGTGCGACGCTTTTTTCCGCCTAAATGTATACAAAGCCCTACTGTGGTAACAATCTTAACTACTAAATTTGCTACAAACCTAAATTTAAGCATTTTATATAGTATAATATGTATGGTTAAGCCTTAATTGCGCACAGGGGAAAATACAAAAAAGAACCTGCTTAGCTAGCTACTTCCAGGCACTGCTGTTTTATTATTTTTTTCAACTTATTACTCTATTCTTATCAGGACTGATCGTAAAGACACACTGAAGTCAAGCAGCACTGGCTGCGGTCAGTAAACGAGTAGGTGACCACTTTGGTCAGCTTACATAGTGAAAGAGGGTGCGCGATATCTGTTTATTTAAAAACTTTTTATAAACTTGTGCACTCAGACAGAAAATAAACTAAAAATATCCTTTCGGAAAAAACCTGAAACTTTCTTAAAAAAAATGACTTCAGATTTAACCCTTTAACGGGCCCTTTATTTCTAGTAAAGGTAAATTAAAGTATTTTTGGAATTGAAATTGTTTTAAGAACAGTAACTGATATAAAAAAAAACTCATTAAGTTTATAAAAATGCCATTTTTTTGGTGGTAAATAGATTTAACATGACCTATTAGGAACTTTTATACGTTTTTTAAAAGTGACAAATGGTTACCAATTTTATTGAAACTCACTTCAAGAAAGCTGAAGTTATTGAAAAATGGAAACCTAAATTAAATGCGGTAAAACGTGGTGGTAAGTATACTTACGACAGCCTTCAAAACTGCACACCCGAATAAGGTAAGACCAAGTACTTGTATAAATGCAACAAAGAATAAATTCCCCAATTAAATAAACCAATAATTAATTAAATACAATAATTAATAATAATTACAACAGTAATTGATAATTAATTAAACCAAAAGAAATTAATGAGGACTAGAAATAAGTGAATTAATGGTATAAAATTATGCAAACCTTTATAAGGACAGAGGAAAAGTTATTATTATTTCAAAATTATTGTAGTGATTGTGGGGAACGTTAATTATAGTCGATATGAAAATATTTTATATCAGGTCTATGCAACTTAAATAGTAAGTAGTGGAGGAATGCATTTGTCGATAAACATTTTTTAAAACCATGAATTAAAACATTTTTAAACGTCAGCAAAATAATGTCCGCAACTATATAAAGGCTAATTTCAAACTGTAGAATAGTTTATGCTCTTAATCAAACAATGTACCTGCTAAACAAAATCTTGGGCCTTCTAACAAAGGTTCTTTTAACGTAATTTTCCCCACTTACGAATGATAACAAAATATTGAAACAAGCGTGTTCGTTTAGAAACTTCAGATCTTTTCTTCGTAATAAAATTATGGCATGGTTTTTTAAACAAAATTTAAATAGAAAAAGAAATTATGAAGATGCTAAAACTGTAGTTGTATTCTTACCACATCCAAGTTCATCAGCTCCGTCTTCACAATCTTTCATCCCGTCACATACGCCAGCCTTCCGAATACAAATATCTCCGGAGCAATGGAAACTGTCACCATCGACACAATTGATATATTCTTCAAAAAATATATAATTAGGTATATATAGTATATATATGAAAAAGTCTTTGTTATAAAGAAAGAAAAATATATAATGCAAGAAAGCCTTATTGTGCGACAGAAATTGGTCACAAAGAAATTGAAAAATTAAGATATTAGTAACTAGTCTATAATTCAGTTTTGTTTGTCAAAGCTATTGTTGTTGTTGTAATAATCCATTAACACAAGGGGTGCGATTGTGTTTGTTTTCCAGTAGCGCCATCTATGGCCAAGAATTTGACTTCTGCTACGCCCATACGTCACACCCAATTATAGGGCAGACCCATTCATTCATTCCTTCATCCACAGATCATCATTTTGACCTGAACCAGACAACTATCAATTTCCAATTCAGAACTCCCAGAGGAATAATTTGTTATGGGAACGTGGAGGACTTTCTGACCCGATAGAGTTAACGCGCATCAGTCACCATTTACTACAAGGGGAGTCTTCGGTCGGCTCGATTCGAACTCCTGTACTCACGAACGAGAGTCCTGCGCCCTGCCAGATAGGCTGTCCCGGCCATTTAAGATATTTCATAAATTATTATAAAATCATGGCAGAAAACTAGATACAACTAATCCAAAATTAAATACTTGATTAGATGAGTATTTCACAGCTTTTATTGCTGGAAATAAATTACAAACAAAGCAATTTTGCTTCACTCTTTTATTAACATTTTTTCACGGAACATGAAAATATTGAAAATCAGCTTATAACCGCCCCTCAGAGAACCCAACACACAATGAATGTTTTGAGATAAATGATTATATCATAAAATTATATTTAAAAATAAACTAAGCACAAAAAAGTACTGTAAAAAGAGCCAATCATTAAAAATATGGAATATGTATATTTAACAGCTATTATATTTTTTATTTTAATTTTATAACTGTCGTTGAAAAGCCGGTCCATTTTTGAGTTTACGACTACTTATGTTCAATTCCGTAGTCTTATAATTTCGAACCCAATCCAGACGACAAGGGAACTCCTGGATCAAGCATTGAGAGTAATTTGCCTTCGTGGAGGACTTTTTGATGGAACTTACCCACATTTGCGTTGCATTGCATGGGGAGGAAAACCACGAACCCCCCCCACTGTTATATTGACGGCAAAGGGAGTCTAATCCATGATCCTTCTACCACTGAGGATATTTTACGTCAGCACTGTGGTCGGTGCAAGCCGAATGCGGAATTCGTAACAGCCAGGCATCGTAGGGATTCGAACAGGGGTCACCACATTGGAAGGCGAACGCTCTATGCCCTGAGCCAACATGGTGCTAACAACTATTATATTTTATTTTATAACCGCAGTTGAACAGCAGACCCAATTTTTAAGTTTACGTCTACTAATGTGCAACTCCATAGCCTTGTAATTTTCCACCCAATCCAGAAGACAAGGAAATTCCAGGATCAAGTATTTGGAGAAATTTGCCTTCGTGGAGGACTTTTTGTTGGAACAAACTCGAATTTGTGTTACATGGAGAGGAAGACCACCAGAACCTCCCATTAATTTTTTAAAAACGAAACATGATTTTATATTTTATGGATTCCAAGGGGGAATCTGTATAGGAATACATTTTTTTAAACTTATTTCTTTAAACGACAAGTATGTTTATCGAATTTGTTCAACAAATTAATTTGTTATTAAAAATTCCGAAAATAAAACAAAATTTCTAAAGATATAGCAGTGTTAAAATTAATATAAATTAAAACTCCTTTTTATGCAAATATGATTTTTTTCAACGATTACTATGTAAATTAATTTTGCAACATTTCATGCATTTTAAAGTTTCATGCATTTAAATTAAAATTTAAGGCATTTTAAATTTAAAAAATTATATGTTTTCTTACATACTTTAATGAAATTTAAGGTTGCTTTGAAATTTCAATTTCCTCGAAATGTACTTAAAAGTCGTTGCTTTTTCAGTTTGTTTTTGTTCTTTTTACTCGTTTATTTTTGAACTCATAACATTTTACTCGTTACTCATTATTCAACGTACTCGAACTTGTTCTCGTTATATTTTCAAAGTAATGTTCTCATGTATTGGAAAAACATACGTGAAAGCGTGAATTCCGCACAGTAAAGTGAATAGTTTTGCACTCGAATAAGTAAGTTAAAACAAGAAACGAAAATGTTATTTGAAGTTTGATCCAAAAAGAGCTAATTCTTCTCAAGTTTTCGTAAAAATGACATCAGATGTTATTAAATACTTACTCTGTTGCAAACGTAAAATGAAACTCGCGTTGTACCCATCTGGAAAATTACCAGCCAATACTGTAAAATCAATCTGGATAAGAGTTGCTGTAGTTTTAACCTCTTGCAAAACTGAGCGAGACCAGTAAGGCCAGTACCTTACCCCCCGCTCATCTTCGAGTTTTAAAGTAAGGTTGCCTTCGGAAAGAAGTTAAAAAAGAAATTTTTTTTGAAACTTTTCGCAGGCCACTAAATTATTTTCATTTATTTATCAAAGGGCTATTCTATATCCGTAAAAATCACTTACCTTGTCCATTAATTTCAATTCATCGAGTTGAATGTAAAATTGATTATTTGAAGGATTTTTTACGGTCCAGCACTTATGATATACTCCACTTCCTTGCACTATGTAAAAATCCGAAATAGCTGCATTCATCGATTTTTCCAAACAACCATAGCTCAAATCTACAATGAATAGCGTTTTTATTTACAGAAGTATTATAGAAATTTAATAATTCAAATAGTAAAAGTGGCTGAAATATATATATATATATGTATATATATGTATGCGCGCATATTTCACCTCGTCTCACAAAAATCGGCAGGTCTGTACAGCGCGCCGTTCAGTCACACTGACTTCTTTCACGTGGAGTGTTTGCGTGCGTTCGTCGAAAACAGAAAATGTGTGAGACCACGGAGCAGCGAATCTGTATCAATTTTTGCTTCAAGCTCGGTAAAACGGGCACCGAAACCTACGAGATGATGAAAACAGCATCTGGAGATGAAGCGATGAGTCGTGCTCGGGTTTTCGAGCGGTTCCGGCGATTCAAGGAGGGTTGTAAATCAGTGGACAAAACACGTAGCACATCCTCCCTACTCGCCGGACATGTCACCTCCAGATTTCTTCCTCTTTCTCAAGATCAAGAACACCTTAAAAGGACACCTTATATATATATATACACCAATTAGTATACCAATTAGACACCCATACGAATAAGGAAATCTTAGGTCCTAATCTACGCCACATCTTTCGTACTTGTGAGAGTCGTGCAGGAAACATCATTCGCAACAGTCCCGTGCAAGATACCACAAAATTCAAAAGGATTCTGGCTTCGAGAAAGGCGTAATTGTTGGATATCATGGAAGTCGCTGATCCTTGAGGGATATATATCCAGTAAGTTAAAATTGTTTAAATCAATAATGTCTTCTTGTAATTACATAGTGGAATGTGAGTGGTGATTGTCTAAATGTGCTTCGATCCAGCAGACCCGCAAAAATAACGAGTTCTGTCCAAAGAGATTCAGGAAAACCGCACTAAACTAAAACCCCACATACTCGAGGAGTTACAACAAGTATCCGAGGAGTTACAACAAGTAACTTAATATACTAAACACTTTTAAGAAGTTACACAGTATTGTATCTTGTGAAAAGTTATTTTGCTCAAATAAAAATATAAATACGTAAATAAATGTCAGTTTAAAACTTTAAAAGTATACTTTTCATGCTTTATAAATCATTTCAACTCTTATAATCTCAACTTTATCTCCCACTCCACAAAATTGGATGTAAGCAAGAGAAAAAAAGGAATCCTTTAAACACACATATACAAAAAGGAAAGATAAAGGGTATATGATAAACACAGCTCTGACTATTATAAATGATTTCATTTTCTGACTTGCTATTAATTCCTGTCTGAGGGTAGTAAATGAAGTTATTATTTGAAAGCAGTTAAAATATTACAAAATGCCACTTGTTTAGATATAGCAAAGTGTTAATTTCCTTCTTTGCCCCCCCCCCTTTCTCTCAGAGTTGAGCTCTCTTACTCATCTTTAATTAATAAAAAGTTTTCCACCTTTATTTTGTTACGAATATATATATATATAAATACAGAACCGGTCAAAAGTTTTGACTTGTATTTTTTTCAAAACTTTCAAAAATACTTATTATATTTCTAGCTTAAACATGTAATTTATCAAAAATGAACATGAACAAACTTCCCAAAATCCTATTTCCATTTAAAACTGTTCATTATTTTTTCATTTTGTATCTATTCTATAGTTGATAACGAAATGAACGAAAGTGCGTGTAAATACTTAATCTAAAAAAAGTGTAATTTATTGAAAAAATTCCACTAATTTTTAGTTTATAAACCATTTACTTTTCATTTTCGTATTTAAGGTTCCTTATAATTTGATTTCATGTACATAACACATTTAAAGTATCGATATAACCCTTATGAAAATTTAAGGTATATTATATACCTCGATTTTTTCATAAGGGAATAGCCTTAATTTGTCAGGATGACTTGGACATTTTAAAAACAAAGGTTAAGATTTTTTTATATAATTTATTACAGAAATATGGATCAGAGAACAAGAAACACGTGCAGTAATTATTGCACTTCATGGAGGAGGCTATAAAATGAACAAATTGCCCATGAAAACTAATATTTCCTAGACCACTGTTGTCAGAACTTTGCAAAAGAAGGAAGAAACTGACCAAAATAAGACCACCAACGATCAGGGAGACCTATAATAATAACCAAACGTGAGGATAAATTTATTTGCATTCAAAGTAAGCGGCAGCGGACTCGAACTCCGTGAGAAATTGAATGTTACTAGACAGAAACTGTTAAACATGGTGGAGATTCAGTTACAGTTTGAGGATGCTTTACCGGCGACAAAGTTGGAAATCTTGTAAGAATAGAAGGCATTGTTGAAAAAAAATATTACCATAAGAATAGAAGGAATATTTTTTTGCAGCGTTACGATTTTTTATGTGGACAGAGAATCGTTATTATATATATATATACAGAGGGAGAGAAAGATAAAAACACAAGAAAACAAGAAAAGATAAAACAAAAAAGTCAAATGAAAAAAAATTAAACAAATCAGAGGTTTATATAAGTAGAGAAATAAAATTATTTGAAATTTCAAAAGATAAGAAAACAGAAAAATAACAACGAAAAGATATAATCTCATCATCAGCTCACACTATTATAACTGTAAAAATAATGCTTTCTAATATTGTGTTAATAAAGCCAAATGTAGGATTAACACATAAATTTTCACCTTCAAAACCAACAAAAATAAGCACTTCCTCAATTTTGAAAACTCCGTGAGTATGTACGTACATAAGAATATGTATACGTGCTAATACGCGATGCAATATAAGTGTACGGAATTGTGATCACGTAAGTGTAATCCTGGGCCACTAGAGTCACAAAGGCTTGTTTACTGTATCATTCCAAGATGGGTGAAATGTAAATCAGGCTTTATGTGTGATCACGGTGCTGAAGGGGTTAAAAACCTGATAGATTTATTTTTTCGTTTTATTAATTTAGCACACGTATGAAAAGGGGGACAGATTTTTTCTCTTCTTAAAATATTAAAATTTATTTTTCTCAAAATCTTAATTCAAATGAAAACTATCAGATTTTTAAAACGAATGAGAAATATTTTTAAAATCATAGTGTATATGGACGACTTAAATTAATAACAAATTTTTAATAACTACCATTACTTTAAAATATAAGAATAAAATGTATTTGCAATTGCGGATAAGAAATTAAGATAATTTTCGAAATAAAAATTTTAACTTACAAATTTGGCAGAGCAGAACTTCCAAAATAAAAATGTGAAAAGTTAACATTTCAAACGCACGCGCTCTTCGACTAATTTCCATCTCAATTTTGAAGCTCGCCCCAAACTTTCCGCTTTTATAAAGGAAACGTTTGGTCTCATTAATTTATTTCAAAGTTATGTTGAAACAAACTGACGTTTATATGTATAGCAATCAATCAGATTTGTCAACAGAAAATGTTTGTTTGAAATCAGTAATTGAATGAAACATACTGCAGAAAACAGAGACGGGATTAATAAAGTTAGAAAACTAATCAAGAAAAAAAGACCCATCTAGGGTATTAGGTTTGCAAGATTCTATCGAAAAGGAAAAAAAAAGTCTTGACATAATATAACACAATTTCCTACTGTTGTGTATTTAATCAAGTAGCTTCACTTTTCCAACTACTGCATTTTCGAAATTAAACAAACTAAATGATGAAATCACTCTGAAATTTGATATTATTTTGGTAAGCAATGGAAAAAAAAGGGATTTGAGACTAAAATTTAAACATGAAAACATGAAAGGGCGCAAAAAAAAAAAAAGAATTCTTAAACAACGATTTCATTCATTTTGAAAAGTTAGTTTATAAGACAAGGAAGTTGCTTCCATCATTTTTATCGTCTCGGACTCTTGAAATCATATTTTAATGATAGACATTTGCGAAGGGAAAACTCCCTTAATTTGTCATTGACCGCTGGCAAGTTTAACCACGTCAATCTTATCTTTATTATAAATTGGACAGAAAAACACATAAATACAGCTCCAATAATTAATAAAGAGTTAAATATCTGTGCAATCTTTTTTACTCAAGTGACTTAGTTGTATAATAGGTATATTTCTTCTTTTATTTTATCATAAAAATCTACTCAGTCAAAATGGCTCATTTAAATTATTTTTTGTATATTCTGGGAATAATTTTTTTGCAAATGTGTAATTAATAAATTTTTTTCATTATATATCTTTAAATTTTTTTTCGTTTTTTTGACATAATATTTAAACATTTCATTTCTTCAATATATTTTATTTTTATTTATTTATTGAAAAATCAAAAAAACGTTTTAGTTCGTGTAACTAGGTTACTTGTTTTTAAAGTGAAACTTTCTTAAAACCTTCAAAAAGAATAGAATATGAATTTTCTGATAAACCTTCTAAAGCTATGAAATCTTAAAGAATGCTATAAAAGAAGGACGTATTTAAGGATGCGATAAAATAAATAAATATTGCTAAAGGAATCCCTATAGAATCACGATAAAAATGCACAGATTTAATAATTATTTGACATTTATCTACGGATTCGATTTGCGACCTACATTCAAATATAATATATTTAAATATTTATTTAAATGTAATCAGATAATTTAAAAAAAATATTTCATATAAAGACTACTTGCAGTGCACAGAAAGATTTTTTAAAAAAATCACTTAAAAAAGGAAAATAAATTTTATTATTTTAAGAAGAGAAAAAAATTCAGCATATTTCATATGTGTGCTAAATTTAACTTCACTTCATATTTTTCTATCAGGTTTTAACCCTTCAGCAACGTGATCACGCATACGTGAACGTTCGATTTACACTACACGGATAACGGTATCATATATAAAACAAGCCTTAGTGACTCTAGCGACTCAATGACGTAAACGTGACAAGGCATGGACGTGATCTCAATTCCGTGCACTTGTACTACACCTCGTATTAGTACGTATACGCATTCTTATGTTCGTATAATTTGCGTGTTAATCCTTAATTAGGGCATAATTTGTGTGTTAATCCTTAATTTTGCTCTTTTTACAATGCTAGAAAGCACTATTGTTTACAGATATAATCGTGTGAGTTGATGATGAGATTATATCTTTTCGTTGCTATTTTTCTGTTGTTTTTTTTTTACTTTTTTAAATATTTAATAATTCTACCTCTTTTTATTTAAAATTCTATTAAAATTCTTTTTTCCTTTTACTTTTTTTAAAATCTTTTCTTTATCGATATATATACTTAATCTAACGGTTGTAAATATCTTGCAAACACTAAATGGTAGCGAGATAACCGAATATCCTGTCACTTAAGTGCAAAGTGCCGTGACTGGAGTCCTCTCTATCAGTTAATTTGAATAAAAGTGTTGGTTTTAAGAAAAACTAAAACTTTAATATATCTACATAATAATATCTAATCTGCATAACATCTAATCTACATATCTAATCTACATCTAATCTAACCTACATAAATATCTACATTTACTCTCAAAATTGATTATATACCCTTTCAACGTCTATTTTAAAAAATAGAAAAAAGGAGTTTCGCATTTTTAAGATAGAAAATAATCTTTAACTCAGTGGATAAAGAATCGGATATCAAAGATAAATCGGAAATCTTTTGGAGATATCTTCAGAGGGAGGCATTGGCCCACATTGAACTGTCTGGCCAACTATGATGATGAAATATTTATCACTAAATGATTAGAAGTATAAAAATAATCAAAGTCATAATATTTTAATCACGTCAGTTGTTTTTCAAGAACTTAAAATTAATTACAGCAAAATTAAAAAACAATGCGTGCTTTCAACCTGAAAATTAATGCTTTTATCATATGCTGTTAGTAAAAAAAAAAACAGTTAGCAAACTGCAAGTGCATGGAATTATAGATATTTCCTTAGTTTAATTAGTTCTTCTTAATACTTTTATGCTGCTTGACATTATTTTATTTTATTAAATTTGCTTTTAAAAGTAAAACAGTAATTGCTTATTAACAAACAGTGCGATAAAAAAAGATTATAATCGAATATAATTGATAAAGTGTTCAGCACGAATTGTACAAACTAATTTGAATATAATACTTGGTTTGTAATTAAATTTCATGCTGAGCACTTTTTTAATTATATTCGATGAAAAGAAATGTGAATTCTTGAGTATATATTGTATATATTTGAATAAATATTTATCTATATATTCTTGGAAAAAATATGAAAATTCAGCATGAACTGAATTTATTTTGCTATACAAATTTTTTGTTATTATCTCCCTCTTAAAATTTCAAATGAACAAGTTAGAGGTACCGCCTAGACTCCACATTACCTACCAGGGTAGCAGAGGACCATCAATTTACGTGTCAAAAATACGTATATTTCATCTTTAAATTTTACAAAGCATTCGTAAAATTTATGTAAAATTGAAACGTCGAATTATAGCAAAAAGAAAAAAAAACGGTTATCCCAAAAGCGTAAAATACATGTAAAATTATACTTAAATAAATTTTTTTCTTTAACAAATATTTTATCAACCAAATTTTACTAGGTAAAAGAATGAGTACGTTATTTTTACATTTTGAAAAAGAATCGCAGAACGTCAAGCTATAGCAAAAAGTAGTTATACAAAAAGCAGAAAACTTAACGTAAATAAATTCGTTCTTTTTTACGAGTATTTTACTTTTAGCACTTATTGTTCTGTTCAGTATGACGTTATTTTTTTGAAACCTTTAAAGGTCGATGAGAAGGCATATGTAGTAGTTAAGTAGTAGTGAGAAAATTCAAATGCTTTGTATCTAGATAAGAGTACTTAGAGGGAGGGATTAAAATATTCTAGTAGCTATAAAAACAGCTCCTCCCGGTTTGAGATTACAGAAAATATTGTTTTTACCATTTATAAATTGCATCGAATTTCACCTTACGTTGAGAAAAGCATGTTTTCTTATCAGAAAGTCTCTACATAGTTTTATATAAGTATTCTGCGCAGACTATTTAAAAAGTGAACCGGCTATGCGCCTGAACCCAATTTTTATATAAAGTGTGACTGAGAGAAATTTATCATACATATTTGAGAATTGAATCTGTATTGGTAAACCGAGAGGAGGCTTTCAGTTGTAGGAGGCGTTGGCAAAACACGATCTCCAATTTTGTTTTGTTGGTTTGAGAACCAGTCTAAGGAAACGGTTCTCAAATGTTGTTCTGGAAGGGGCGAGACCGAGAGTCATGACATTTTTAAACAGCTTCTTTTTAACATCTTTAATTATATTTAGATCCAATCAATAATCCATTATTTACTTATCATTTCGATTGATTGGCAGCAATTAAAGTAATATGCAGAAGAGCAATAAAGAAAAAATTATTAAATTTTAATTTATAATTTTTCTAATAAAAATTATCAAAAGAAAATGCAATCGCAGTAGTATTTCACATTGCTCTTTACAAATCAAAATAAAATAACAGAATTCTTTAATAAAGAAATGTGTTTCCCTAATAACTATTTTCAATGTTTATAACAGTTCTTTTTTTTATGGCAATATAGGAACATAATTAATTAATAACTAATTTAACTAATTTAAGGTAATTAATTATAAAACGATGTTTTCATTTCAATCACCTTTTTAAATATTTTTTTTTCTAATGGCAGGCACTGAATTTGAATCTTTTGCCTATACTATGCCAGAATTGTTGCTCATTTCGCGTTACCCAGTGGGCACCAGTGAACCAAAGTCACGGAGGCGAGCAACATTGCCCACGCCACACTGCCACAAGCCCGTTTTATAGGGTGGGCCACATTCACACATCATACACACACAACAGAGGACAGCACAAAGAGAGAGAGAAACATCCATGCCCAGAGCGGGATTCGAACCCGCAGCCTATGGCTTTGCAGTCAGGCACGCTAACCGCTCGGCCACCAGGCAAGCACCTTTTTAAATATAAAAAATCTCAATATAGAGTAATTTTTTTAACGGTTTATACGAACACTGTTGTATTTATTTACTTTAATTGGGCATTTGCACATCAAGAGGAAGACCTTTCATACCCACACACTTAACCTATGACGTCAGCTAATCTTTATCAACACAAAGTTGAGCTAAGTTTCTCCACATAAGTTAGAATGTTAATTAATGATAAGTTAATTAAATACAGAGCTGCATCGCACATCGAATTAGTTGAAATATAAGTCTTTCTTGTCTACTTCTTTCACTTAACTTAGATTTGTTATTTGTTTATGTATTTTATTGAAATCGTGATATATTTTTGTTTTGCGTACCTGGCAACTTCGAAGCATAATAAGTTTATTTATGTTGCACGGGGCTCTGTGCCTGTCTTTGTGTTAAGTCACTGTATAAATATATAGAGAAAGAATTGAAATTTTTGAGAAAGAATCGTTGTGAAAGAATTTAGAATGTATCACTTAAGAGAATTGATACTTGACTAACTTGGCTTACTCGAAATAGAATGGAAAGAACAGTTGCTAACGTAAAAGAATGCCACGTTTCAACAACAAATCAGGATCGAGATACCCACACTACGTCACTTGTAGGCATCCTATTGAAGGCAGTGGG